AAATAACGTGTTATTTCTTGGGAGGAGCAAGGGCATAAGCACCAACAGATAAACTTATTAGTGCCAGGTACATCAGTACGGATTTCTGCTCGTTGCAATTTAGCAACAAATGAAATAAATAATTAGATAAATAAAATTAAAATTAAATAAATATATTAACCCATTCCTGACGGGCATGGCATGTACATGTGCTATGTCCACTGTGGGTACTTATTTGATTGTTTGTACACATAGATGGCAACACTAAATCACCAATGAGCCAATTATGAGTGCTGCCTGTCTCGCCCGTTTACCCTTTCTTTGATTTACGAAAACAATTTACATTATCTTATTTTGCTGTTACTAATGTTTATATCATTATAGTAATTATAATGTTTATAATAAAAATAACACCATCGATATTCATATCACTAGTAATAAATACATTTTCCCGCCAATTCAAGCAAAGGTGAACTCAGATAAGGCAGAGCCATCCATGTGCAGTGACATTTCACAAAAAATATAAAAAATGAGCACAGCATTTTCCCAATTTTTTATTCATTAAGGTAAAATTAAATTACATAGAATATGATAAAATAGGTGAAATGAAACAAAACAAAAAAAATAAATAAATGAAATAAAATAAAATAAAACAAAATAAAATAAAATAACATAAAACAAAATACAATAAAGTAAAATAAGATAAAACAAGGTACAATAAAATAATGAAATAAGTAAACTACATTAAGATAAAGTTAAATACAATACAAAAGAATAAAATTCAATAAAATGAAATAAATAAAATAAAATACAATAAAATAAGATAGAATGCAATACAAAATAATATCAAAATCAATAAAATAAAATAAAGAAAATAATCACAATCACAATCCACTCCCTCCTGGATACACAAGTGAATCCCTTATATCACAAGTATCCCCTTCCACACCCGTCTAATACACTCTTGTCTGATGTCACAATCTGATCCACCCCTATGCTCCTTATATAATTCCACTTTCAGTCCCACACATTCTATTATCATGCCCACGTTTTGAAGCAGCCTGTAGCTCTGCTTCCCCCTACCTATCCCTTCAAGACCTCCCAACCTATTCTACTTCGACTAGCTGTTTTCCTCTCAAACGCATAAATATCCCTCACTTAATCTAATACCTTTTACCTCAACCGACCTTAACCCATTCACTCACCAATTGCTTTGCCAGGCTTTGACAACTAATCACTAACTTAACCATCCTTTACTAACATTTACTATTGTGCTACATGCTCTTAGATGTCTATCACATTTATTTTGCTTTTAACCATTAACCATTAACCATGAAATACAATCAAATATAATATGATATAATAAAATAAGATACAAGAAAATGCAATAAAATACAAGGAAACACAGTGAAATCCAGTAAAATGAAATACATGAAAAGAAAATTAAATACAGTAAAATCCAATAAAATAAAATGCAGCAAAAAAAAAAATAATAATAATTTTTAATTTATTGTACCTTATTAAACACAATAAGGTACAACAAATAAAATATAATAGAATACAATAGAATAAATAAAAGACAAAAGAAAAAAAAAGATAAAAGAAAAAAACAAAGTAAAATGAAATAAGATAAAATAAAATAAAAATATGATAAAATACCGTAGGCTGAACATGTCAGAAAAGATATGCTCAAATGACTGAACATTAACAATATATTTGTTTACCAAGCCCAAACAACATTTATTATAAATATCAATAAAGAAAATGAT